TTGTTGTTGCTAGTTGTTTGAAGATGTGCCATTCTCACTGGGGTGAGGTGGTATCTCATTGTGGTTTTAATTTGCGTCTCCCTTATTACGAGTGATGTTGAACATGTTTTCATATGCTTGTTGGCCATCTGCATTTCCTTGTTGGAGAAGTGTCTTTTTAGCTCTTCTGCCCATTTTTTGATGGGGTTGTTTACTTTATTTTTGTTGAGTTTTTGTGATCCATCCTTTATCACTAGTTTTGTGTGAGAAAATTTTTTCCCAATTAGTGGGCTGTCTGTTTTTTGTAATGTTTCTTTTGCTGCGCAAAAGCTCTTTAACTTGATGTAGTCCCATCTATTTATCCTTGCCTTCACTATTGTGGCATTGGGTGCTCTGTCTTTAAAATGTTGCTGAAGTGTATGTTGTGTAGTGCTTGGCCCATCTTTGGGAAGCATCCTTTTTAGCAAGAAAATATGAGAATAATATGGGTTCTGATTTTTAAAAAGATTTATTTCTTTATTCATACAGAACTGGGGCACAGGCTAGAGGTGAAGGGGTGGTGAGAGGATTCACCAGAGACAGAGTGGGGAGCAGAACAAGCAGATTGAGGAAGTACACTGCTGAGGGGAGCAAGGAGAAGTCTGCTGAGCCAGGTTCTGATTTTTTTAAGTGCTGTTGCCATTTAAATTTGAGTATGTTCTTAATTTTCTCTGTTGCCATGTAAACTTTAAAATAGATGTTTTTTATCTGAAGTTTGCATCACTATCTCTTCTGTGTGGATTCAAATTCAATGTGATATTTGTTAAGACATTTTTCAGTCACTAGTTTATTTTCTTGTTCTGTGTATGTATGTCTGACTGTATAGAGTTTACATTTAGTATAAATCAGTACATGAAATTCTGCTGTCCGTTTGTTAATTAGCTTATTTATTTTCATTGTTAAATTGAATATCTTGTATATCAATATCCAAAATGGGTTTTGTATAGCTTGGGTATTAACCCCTTGTCTGCTGTGTAGTTTTTCAATATCTTCTCACTTTCAGTTGGATTTTCTTATTCTACTTAATAGAATGATTGTTTGAGCAGAGGGGGCTATTGGGGAGGGAGCTGATAGAAGGATACAAAGGAGTCCCAGGAAACTTGAGGTGATAGATTTGTTCATTATCTCCATTTTAGTGGTGATTTCAGAGTTATCCATAAACAAAACTTGCCAAATTGTCCACATTAAGTATCTGCAAAGTATACATGATAAGGATACCAAAATATGTCAACTGAGCTGACCTGAGGGCATGGTGCCTTACCCTCGGTGGTGACTTTGGAGTCAGAAAGGTGCCAGCTCCCAGGTCCATGTGTGCTGTCTGAGTCAGGACAGACCACAGGAAACTGATAGGCTCGGGCTGATTCCTTTGATCACTGTCAGTACAGAAAACAAAGTTATAAATCACTGACATTAGGATGGGGGATTGTGTTTTTACTTAACTTGCACGTGATTCTACTCAGTTCGAGTGTTTCGCTTTTCTTTTAGGGATGGCTCATTTTCTGTCAGTTCCATCTGGCCCTCTGATTTTATTACTGTAAGAAGAAAGGAAATGCACCGTATGTTTAAAGTAAGCATGCACACTGCCACTGGGTCTCTTGATTATGTGTTTTGTTTCATCTCTGTCTTTTCTGTCCATAGGCATCAAGCACCTTGGGTGGCTGAAAGTCACCTGAGGCTGATATTTCATATGGAATGCAAGGTCACTTTCCCCTGCTTTCCACCTACTATAAAAAATCTAACCCCTTATGCCTTTTTTCAATATGCTATAAATAACTTTTTGCATAAGGCACAATCTTTTATCCTCTGATTAATTCTGAGACTTAAATTAGTTCCTTAGAGTGTCTGTTTGTTTTAGTAAGGTAACAAGACAGATGTCAGATTCATAGCTAAAAACAGGAAATTGAAAAGCAGTCTGGTATGGAATGTTAAAAGAAGGAAAAAGTAGTGACAGAGAAACAGGTGATATGTGTCAAGGCCAATTCACACACCTGGACCTGCAGAAGCATGAATGTGTAGCTTCTAAAACTGCAGACACTTTGTAGAATAAGTTTTCGCTGAGGTAACATTTTGAAGCCATAATTTAAATTTAAGCCAATAGTACCACATGGAAAAATCAGGGAAGTTTTTAATTTCAGAATCTATTAAAAAGGAGACAATAAACAATTTGTAAAAAATTGTAAAATAATTCTGGAATAGACTGAGTGACAGAAAAGCAAAGGACTGCTGTCCCTGGTGGCTCATATAGCTATAGTCAACTTGTGAATCTTGAATTTAACAAGGGGCAGACAGAAATCTTGGTGTTCCTTATGCAAGTGCATACATTGTATTAGACTCTATGGAACCACCCAGAGACTCTGCAGTGAAATGATTCTTTGAAACTGAGTGGAAATTTATGTCACAGTTTATGTGACATTTTGCAAGTTATATATATTTATGTGTGTGTATATGTATAAATTTATAAAGTCTGCCAGGCTAATTATGTATTTTAAAATGTGATTTGCTATTTTCTAGTAATGTTGTAAATTATGTGGGCATATTTCTGAATATTTCTAGCTTAACAGCAAAAACACCCCTGAGCATTGTTTTCAGTTATAACCATTTGGTGACCACAATTGCAAGACACATTGTCATTTCAGGGGCATCAATTAGGGGCAAAACTTTTTCTTGGGATTAAAAAAAAATCTTAAGACCCCACCCTGTGCCCTTGTCTTCTCAGTTGTAAGATTGAGAGAATGGTATCTATCTGCTGAGGCTTACTGAGGATGACATCTTTCTTAGACTTCTTAGATTACAACTTCTTAGAGTAGTTTAGAGCGAATCAGCACCCAGCAAATGATAACTATTTTTACTTGATCAGGTAAAATGGATTTGAATGGCACAACTTCACTTACACATGGGCTTTTTTGTAAATAGATACTGTAAATGTATGCCACTGATAAAAACACTACAGTACATGTTCTCTCTCAAAATCTCTTGTGATTTTCTTTCTTTCTTTTTTTTTTTAAAGATTTATTTATTTGTGCATACAGAATTGGGTTACAGGTCAGAGGTGCAGGGACTGTGAGAGGCTTCACCAGAGACAGAGTGGGGAGCAGAACAGAGAGATCGACGAAGTACACTGCTGAGGGGAGCAGCGGGCAGGTTAGGAGAGGTCTTCGGCGCCATGTGGTCACCTCTGGGACAGGCGGAAATCGAACTCAGGCGGAAGTGGCTTTAGCTTCTTAGTGCTGCGCTTTAACCCCCTGCACCACCAGGGAGGGCCATCTTGTGACTTTCTTAATAACACTTTCTTTTCTGTAGCTTACCTTAAGAAGATGGCCTGTACCCCAGTTCTGTGTACATAAATAAATAAATCTTTTAAAAAAGAATATAGTATGTACTACAGTTAACATAGAAATTATATATTATTGACTTTGTATTACTGGTAAGGCTTCTGGTCAATAACAGACTTTAGAAGCTAAGTTCTGGGGGAGTCAAAAGTCATACCCTACGTTATTTAACTATCAACTGCATATTACATCCTCAGAGTGCCACGGTATTGGTAGAAGGGCCAAAATAGAAGAGATTCTGACATTTTTCTCATGACCTAGGTCCTAATGCTTACATCATTTACCCTGCTAAGCAGGAGGAGGGTGATAATATTAAAAGTGTCATTTAGTAGTGGGGAGTTAATGAAAAATGCTAACAGGCTGACTTGAAGAATGTCTGCTTTCTTATAACTCAGATGTTCCTTAAATCATTCTAGGTTACCGCTTCACAGCTATCTGCACCTAGTAATAAATATTCCATCCCAATATTAGCAGATAGTGAGAATGAGAAAAGTGAGTGGGTGGGAGTGCTCAGTGAATTGCACAAGATTCTGAGAGCAAGTCATTCCAGAGACCGCTCAGTCTATGTTCTGAAAGAGGCTTATGACAGCAGTCTACCCCTGATCAAAACCACCCAGACCGCTGCAATCATAGGTATGGATTTATGACAGTTAATACCTTTCTCAAATCTAAAAAAGTTCTGAGTTTCCAAACACAAATGGCCCTATGGGCGTCACCTGAGGTGTGACCCTGTGTAGTCATTGTGAATCACCTACATGAGGAGGGTACATACAGACTTTCAAATCTAGATCCCAATGCCCAAATGTTCACCAAATAAATGAAAACTATGTTTAGTCAATTAATACATTGCTAAGGTTAATATTCAAGTTTTCTCAATAAATGAGAAAACATGTGCTTTCCAAACCTCATTTTTTTTTCTGGGTTAGGTGGCATTAGGTGACAGTGAGAGTGAGAGTATTTACTCCTGTGTGACATTGTGCATGCACTAAACTCCTTTGAACAGTTCTGTGCTGGTATAAAATGCAGACACTCCTTTGTTTGACAGTTACGGTGTGGATTAAATCAGCTCATTTATGTAAAGTTCTGCTTTGTGTTATAGGCTTTCACTCAATAAACACTATCTTTGCCCTTTAAATTTTTTTCTCACACAAACTTTAATGCTGATGCAGTTCAGGACAAGATCACTGAAAATTATATAATTTTTATTCATTAAGCAATTACCTATTTATAGTGAATTTGAAATTACCTCACTTGAATGTTATGCTTTTTTCAAGTAATGACAAAGATTGCTTTATAATGATCTCTTGAGAAAAGTCAAGTTTTGTTAGGGTTAATTTTTAATTGAGAAAAGCTAATAGTATGAATTTGTTATTCTTAAATTTTTATTTTTATTTTTATTTTTATGTATGTGCTTAATAATTTGACTTCAAAAATTTTTCAATATTGATAAATTTGTTTATCATATTAATTTGATTTAATGTTTGCCAAAAAATCTTGATGTTTTTATTTATGTGTCACATGCAGATCACAAAAGGATTGTTCTGGGAAATGAAGAGGGTTTATTTGTGGTTCACATCACCATAGATGGTAAGGCTTAACTTGGCAATTCTGGAACAACTAATCTCTAACAATAATATCAAATGTGTTACCTTTTTCCTGTACAAGAAATCATCTGCTTCTAGTTTGATATATTTTCAAGTCAAATGATAACTCTCCTAATTTCCAAGATCTATAAACCTCAAGAGTCTAAATACCTTCTCAGGTGATTTTATCTGTTACATTTGTAAACTTTACCATCTTCAGGTTGCACATGAAAAAAAAATTCTACTTGATTCCTCTCTGCCCACCTATGACATTCTACAAAGAGTAACTACTTACATTTAGACATTACATAATATCCTAGACAAGAAGGCAGAGTTCTGTGCTATAATTGTGTTCTGTGCTTTTTTTGTGCTTTTTTTCCCCCCCTTTGGAGAGAGAGAAATGGAGAGGAGACAAAATCATGGGGAGTCATTCTCTCCTCTCCAACTGTCCTCTCAATGTCTCTCACCTTTGTGATAAATTTGAAAAATGACTGGGGCTCATGATGTTAAGGGTATCTGTCAGATCCTTTTTATTGAGACCTTTTTTAAGTGCTTCTTGGTAACTTGGGACAACAGTCAAAGAATATAAATATATTGCATTTGAAAATGACAGACGTTATGTTTATTTGTGCAGAAATCATTCGAGTTGGTGACATGAAGAGGATCCATCAGATAGAGCTCATCCCCCATGGACAGATGGTGGCGGTGATCTCAGGACGAAGTCACCATGTACAGTTGCTTCCCATGTCAGCTTTGGATGGCCGCAAGGCTGATGTCCACAAGCTGGCAGAGACCAAAGGCTGCCAGATGATGACTTCTGGACCAGTATGCCGTGGGGCCCATACGTGCCTCTGCGTAGCTCGGAAATGCCGGGTCTTCTGCTATGAGCTGTATCAGAGCAAGAAAATCTCTCACAGAAAATTTAAAGAGCTTCAGGTCCCAACCAGTGTCCAGTGGATGACCATCTTCAGTGAACAGCTTTGTGTAGGGTTCCAGTCAGGATTCCTGAGATACCCCTTGAGGAGAGAGGGAGTCCCACACAGAATGCTCCACTCTCACGACCCTACACTGTCGTTTATTGTGTGTCAACCAGTGGATGCGCTCTGTGCAATCGAGATCTCCAGTATAGAGTATCTGTTATGTTTTAAGAGCATTGGAATATACACTGACAGCAGGGGCCTCAGGTCGCGGTCAATTGAATTGATGTGGCCAGCAACTCCCACTTATTGCTGTAAGGTTTGGTACACTGTCTTTTTATTACAATATGATTTTGCTAATGAAAGGCTTTGTTTTTGAAAACATCACTAAAGATTTTTTTGAATTAGCTTCTTGTTTTGTAACAATGCTCTAATGAAATCATACCTAAATCATACATGTGGTTTTTTAAAAAAGATTTTATTTATGCATACAAGAACTGGTGTTTCGGCCAGAGGTGTTGGGGAGGAGGGTGGGAAGATTCACCTGAAACAGAGTGGGGAAAAGGACAGGTGGATTAGCTGAAATACACTACTGGGCGGGAGGTGGGGTGGGGGCAGCAGGTCAGACAGACATGTGGGTCAGCTCCCTGGCTGGGGATCGAACATGTGCTGCAGTGGCTGTGGATAGAGCTTCATAGTGCTGCGCTTAAACCCTGTGTGCTACCAGGGAAAGGCCTTTAAATCATACATTTGAAATGACAGACTAATTATTACTACATTCATAGGAAAATTACTCTTGAATATATCCTTAATATAAGTAGTTGTTTTCTTTTAAGTTCCAAAGTAGCTATTTTTGTGGTATCAGCATTAAAATTGACCACAAAAATGTAGATACTTAGTTTGCTTTCTATGTTAAAAGCTTGTGTGAAGTATACATATACTTTTTCTAAATAATCTTAGTCTTTTCCAGCCCTTTCAAACTATTATTGATCTAGGCCATCATGTAAAAATCACATATAAATTTTTTTATTCATTTAGAGAATAGTAATTGAGCACTTAACATAAACAATTTATGATGCTAAGGACCACAATAAACTTAAGGTAGACATAGTCTGTATGCTCATAGTGATACTAATCATGAGATATTTTAATTTTGAGTGATTAAAAGAGGTGAATAAAGGGCATGTGAGGGCCCCTTGTGTTGGGAACAAGACACACACACGTGCTGGTAAAACTGGGTAAGTCTCTCTAAGATGGGTAGAAAAATTGTATCAATGTCAGTATCCTACTTTGGCAAAATATTCGCAAGAAGAAACTTATACAAGAGCCTTTCTTTACTATTTCTTTTTTTCTTTTTAAGATTTATTTATTTATGCATACAGAGCTGAGATACAGGCCAGAGGTGCGGGAGTTAAGAGGGTTCACCAGAGACAGAATGGGGAGCATAACAGGCAGATGTACTGAAGTACACTGCTGAGGTGAGCAGCCGGCCGGTCAGGAGAGGTCTGCCATGCCATGTGGGTCACCTCCCTGGCTGAGGATTGAAATCGTGCTGCAGTGGCTGCTATAGCTTCATATTGCTGTGCTTTAACCTGTTGTGTCACAAAAGCAGGAACCTCTGTATTATGTCTTACAACTGCATGTGTTTCTATAATTATAATAAAAACACCAGTTCAAAGAGGAATCCTGAAACCCAGACTGTCGCTTCTTTCCCCTCTCCCAGGTTTCAATGCCCCATATCTCTCTGTGTATAGTGAAAATGCGGTTGACATCTTTGACGTGAACTCCTCAGAATGGATCCAGACCATCCCTCTTAATAAGGTGACTTATACTGAGTACTGATGGATTATTGACTGAAAATGGAAATGACACTATGTCATTGTACACTTTTTGCTAATAATGTGGATTCTCACATTTAATTTAGTTACTTTTATTTATTACTAGTTTTCACTTAGTTTAAATTTACACCCAGTGAAGGAAAATTTTACGGGCTAAATAAAAGTATATATTTAAAGATGCATTAAAGATGTTCAAGATTTCACAGATTCACAATAAAATGAAGAATTTGCATCTCTTCTATAAATTACTTAAAACATAGATAAAATCTTTAAAAATTGCCATTTTGTTAAGAAAGGAACACTGAAGATTGAAGAATGATTAAATTATGGAATGTGTTGAATATAAGAGCATGAGTCACCCAAAGGGAGTTAGTTTATACTGTAGTAGAATCATGAAGTGGTCATAATGATCTATGAGACTTTACACCACTTTACAATATTGATGTAGAAAGAATTTGATCAGGACTGATCCATTCACCTAACATTAAGATACACATTTCTAATATTCTAAATGTGAATCAGTCACATTCACTGTTTGATCAAATTAATTCACAAGAAAGATGAGACTTCTCAGGATAACTTTTATTACTTATGTCTTTTTGAAAGTGAATTTAAACACTGATTTCTGTTTAAGTTAGTGAGTTCTGATTTCTTAAACCCATAATGTTCATGTTTCTGAAATTTTATCAATATGAGCTTGTAACACAATCTATCCCCTCTGATTGATTTTTTAAATTATAGCATTTTGAGGTGAGAGTTTAAGTAAAATGTCATGATAATCAATTCTTTTTATCTATCTATCTGTCTGTCTGTCTATTTATCTATCTATCTATTGTTACATATTATAAGCAATTAGCTTTCTAAGTTAGTATTCAAAAGTATATTTGAAATGGTAATCTTTTTTTTTTTTAAATCATTTTAGGTTCGGCCCTTGAATAGTGAAGGATCCCTAAACATATTATTTTTGGAGACAGTTAGATTAATATATTTCAAAAATAAGATGAAAAGTAAGAAATCTCTTCTTAATAGAACAACTTCTAGCAAAATCTTTCTCTAGTTGATGCTCAGGTCACGGAGCTTGTGAGTGGGGAGAATCTGACCTTGGAGCTTCTGTTCCATCTCAGCAGAGTTGTATTTACTTCCGGGACGCTGGTTCAGTTTTCCAGCATGATTTACCTAAGCACAGGTGGACACGAGCACCTGAATAAACCAACCTCCATCTCCAATGCTCACTGTGAACATTCACTCACTTCCCCAGCAGGCTTTGGGGCTAGAAGTGCACAAGCCTCAGTGAGTGCACCAGGCAGATGTCGCCCCTTCCCCAGCTCTGCTTTAGCTTCTCACACCTGTTAGTTTCAGACTCCAGAAGACTTGGATATGAGAAAAGTCACAATGGATTTGTTGCTCTCTTTTTTCTTACTTATTGAATGGAATCTTTGCACAGTGGTGTAACAGTTTGCTAGAGCAGTCACAACAAAACACCAAAGAGTGGAGCCTTGAACCATAGAAATTCATTGTTTCTGGGCTCTGGAGCCTGGAAGTGAAGCTCAAGATCATGGCAGGTTTCATTCCCGCTGTGAACAACGAGAGAGAACCTGTTCCAGGCATATTTTTCTAGCTTCTGGAGATTTTCTGACAATCTGGAACATTTCTTGGCTTGCAGGCATACTAACCCAATCTCTACCTTTATTTTTATGTGAAGTCTCTGTGTCTGTGCCCAAATTTTCCACTTTTATTAGGGCTCACCCCAATAAGCACATCCTAACTTGAACATCAGCAAAGACCTTATTTCCAAATAAGGTCACATTCAAAGTTACTGAGGGTTAGGGATTTAACGACTTTGGGGAGAGACACAATTCATAACAAGCTGTCTTATTTTCTTTTTGGGGTTCAAGACAGTATGGAGGTTTTCTGGGGACAGTTTTGTTCTAAATATAAAGACCTGAAACTAAGTGGGCTGGAAACTCATAGGGGTCTACAGAAGAGTTATCTCTTACCTTGAGATCAGAAGAGACAGATTCTTTCTTCTGCAGGGAGGGGTTGGGTCACCTTACCACCCTGTGTACCACTTCCTTCTGCAGTAGGTCTCAAAATTGCTTTGCTCTGTTTTAATAATAGTGATTATGTTCATATTCAGAAAGATTTACGCTTTCTACTTTGCCTTGAAGTGTAACCAAACATTTTAATGCCCTTAATCAGAAGAGCATGGTAGGAGAAAAACATTAGCTTAGAAATATCAGGGTGAATCAAAGTGGAGACACCAATGAAAAAACTGCTGTCACCTCCCAGAGAAACAGTACTGGCTTATCGAGTTATATCCTGATAGATTTATTTTGAAGTATTGCTTAAAGGCTAAACTGTTTAATCAATGTTCTGTGTATATTCTTAATAAAAGTGTCCTATTCACCCACCTTTAAAAATCAGAGCAATCTGATAGTTGTGCCCTTTCTTGATATCTGTGAGATTAGTGGAAGCGAGCATTGGCAGTTTCAAGAATTACCATTGTTTTGTGTTCTATGTATAGATGGAGATGAGCTGATATTTCCCAAAACATCAGATACTCATCAAAGGCAAATGATTCAGCACCTCAACAGCAAGCGGCGTTATTCCTTCAGAGTCCCCAAAGAGAAGGGAACATCCCCAAAGGGACTCTGAGCTGGGAGAACCACTGGAGGATCACATGATGTTTGATTTCATTTGGAAGAATAGAAATAAATATCTGAAATTTGAACAGAGACATCTGTTCATAGCCCATTTTGTTAATTTTTAACTTTAGGGAAATCCTTTATGTAGTATGAGTGAATGTGTAATAAGCAATTCATTTCTCTGAATGTGGGCTAATTGAACCACAATGTATGTTCCCTACTGGTTTTGTGAATGAATAAACAATACAGTGTATGCTTGTGGATTCATTACTCTCTGACAATGGTTTTCTTTTTTTAAAAAACAACTTTCTGGGCCCTCCCTGGTGGCGCAGCGGGTTAAAGCACTGCACTGAAAAGCTAAAGCCACTTCCGCATGAGTTCAATTCCCGCCTACCCCGGAGGAGACCACATGGTGTGGCAGACCTCTCCTGACCCGCCCACTGCTCCCCTCAGCAGTGTACTTCATCGATCTGCCTGTTCTGTTCCCCACTCTGTCTCTGGTGAAGCCTCTCACCACCCCTGAGCCTCTGGCCTGTACCCCAGTTCTGTATGTACAAATAAATAAATCTTTAAAAAAAAAAAAAACAACTTTCTAATGAGCCATTGCTTTGCAGTGATTTTTATCTTTAAAAAATATTTATTTTGTTTATTTATGAATGCAAGAATTGGGCTGTAGGCCAGAAGAATGGGAGGGGGTGAGAGGATTCACCAGGAATAGAGTGGGGAGCAGAACAGGCAGATCTACTGAAATCCACTACTGAGGGGAGCATCAGGCAAGCCAGCTGTGCTATGTGGGTCACCTCCCTGGCTGGGGATCAAAGTCAGGCCACAGAGGCTGGTGATAGCATGATAGTGCTGAGACTTTTAGCCCCTGTGCCACCAGGGAGGCCCAGGGCTGTAATTTTTATAACTAAAAAGGCATAAAAACAAGTTGAACTTCTTTGAATTACAAATGAAAACATTTCAAAGTTAGTGCAACTTCTTTAAAAAAGTTATAATTGTATGAAAAATATACAACATTGATACACGTAACTTTTGGAGGCATTTTAATCCCTACCATAAACTTTAAAATACTTTAAAAAATACTTACAAGGCATTAAATTACTGACTATTCCTCTCTTCTCCAAGTTTGTAACTGGACATACTGAACCAACTACCTCAAAAATAACCAACATAATTCTTTGTCTTTCAAAAGTTATTATAGAAGCACAGTTACGTTTTAACATCTAAAGTAGTAATTTTCAGCAAAATAAAATTTCCAAAGTGAAGCAGAGGTATTTTCATTTCCAGCATGAAGTTATGAAATGCTCTTCTAGGTTGTTTTTCTCCTGCTCTTTCTTTGTTTTGTTAAAGAAGAATCAGAGCCAGAGATGACAATCCTTCCTAAGACTTGCTGTGCTCACACCCAGGGACTGAAAAATTCACTTTTTTCCAGGCACATATTTTAGGCCAAGGCATTTCTATGTAGATGATGAGTTGAGTTGCTTTTGATTTCTTTTCTGTAAAACTTCTGGTTTTGTCTTAATAAAACTCTCACTAGTGAGATAAGCCAGAAAGAGAAAGAAAAATACCAGATGGTTTCACTCATAGCAGGAGTATAATGGACCAGGCGAGAAAATAACAAAAATAATGAACAACCATATACCAGAGACA